CTCCCGCTTTAACACTGTAAAACAGATACGTGTGTTGTTGTTTTTTTGGGAGGACTTCTGCCCACACTGTAAAATCGTCCATTAAAAGCAGTTACGTATATTCATTCAATAATGGCAACTACAAAACAGCCGAGACGTCGTCTCAAACATTGAGGTAATTTCCGTTATTTGACTTTTCCCCTTAAAATATTGAGTTAAAGCTTCGTCCCAGATCGAATTATTCACTATATAAGTTACACATGAAATGATTGGCTGTAGCATACTCACCATATCCGGGACAGTTAGGTGGCCATGCGAAAATACGATGGCGTTGGGTGGTGTTGCCACTGGTAACATAAATGCATAAGAGCATACAATTGTGGAAGGAACCAGTAAATAGAGCGGGTTCACACATATAGTCTCACACTGTTAAGTAAGAATATATTAAAACATTCGTTTTTTTTGTGACACACTATGCCTGATCATGATACAATGAAACCACCCTGTTTATTTTCGAGAAACAATTCTGGACACTTTTAAATATCAGAATTTAGAAAATTTGGGAAAAAACATCATGTTCGCCAATCAGCCGTATGTATAATCAAATGAGAAAAAAACGACGTGCATGTAAGTCATCTTAGTCTTTGCGTTAAATTTGAAAGAGATCGGCCAAAGCATATCCAAGAAATAACTCCGGACAGACGCTCGGACGGACGGATGCACGGAATGTCGATTTCCAGTTATTCAAAAATAATTCCCAAATTTGAAATATCGTGTTTGCTTATACCATACATGTCAGTATGTGATCACAGATTAACAATATCATTTGCCGCTATATAGTTTAAATCATGTCTGTAAGCATGACAACAAAAATTCCATGACATCAAACTTGACACTTATAATAGACTCATTCATACCAGCCATTCTTTGAGTCCTTCGAGGAATGATTCTTTTGTCGGTTTCTGGTCACGTGAATATTCAGTTCCATTTTGCCGCAACAAGTAGACTCGTTCGCATAGCGTTTGATACGATTACGAATTTTAGAAAATTTACGTAATGATTAGTGGCGCAATTTCAAACAAACATTCATGGTCATCGGAATATTAATATTTGCGTTTCACGTCGCGATTTGAAGGAATACGGTAGTGATTATAACGAGACAAGATGGCTGACTTGATGACGTACATAGACGTAAACGTCACACAGAATATATCAAATAAACTACTGTAAAATAGCTGGAATTAATTTTCGCTGAAAAGACTTTTTTTTGTGTTTTGTATGGAGTTTAATTTCACTGATTTTTGATGAGTTGAATGTAAGACATAGGAAAAAAAGGTATATTCGCTGGATTTAATTTTCACTGAATCATCCCTTCAGCGAAAATAAATTACATTACAAGCAAAAATTAAGTATTTTACAGTATATAGCTGAGATAAATATGGATCTTGCACGCCAACGTCAACGTCAACGCCAACGTTTCGATGATTTCAGAAAGTTTCGATATTGGCGACAAACGCTTTACAAAATCTATATGACAAACAGCGATACTAAATCGCGATTTTTTTTCTCTGCCTTAGGATCAAAACACATAAAATGATGACGTTTAACGCGAGTAATCATGAAGTTTACCGCATCGTATGATAATTCACAATACGAGCTACGAAACCTATGCATCATGGTCACATGACCAGCCGTCGTAACTATCCATTACTATCGTTATTTATTATTCAAAATTCAATAAAGTCTCGTCTTATAGATAAGGTTATTCCAATTTCCGCGTTAAAATTTGTATTATCGAATAATACATGAAGGATAAATTGATTTAAAAATTAATATGATGCGATTTTTAAGGTGTTCAGACATTCATTTGCATAGTAATGTGCCAATGTGTCACGTGGCTAACACACAAATCAGGGGAACTGGATACCATTGCACGTAATTGTGCGTAATCATTCTGGCCATTCCATCAACGTAATGTACAATATCTACTGACGCAAATCTATTTCAACCTGGCAGTCTTTTTGTGTGTGTGTACACTACCACCATGGCAACGAGGAATTCAAACGCCGTCAAGCGTGAAACTGAATAAATGTGTAATGAAGTGTGATAAATATACGTTGCCATGCTTACCAGAACAGCAAGAATAGGTAGAAATATCGTAGCTATGGCCACGTTGCTTGTAACCTCCGTGAAAAAACACACTGTGGTCGTGACGACCAGGATGATGATTTCCACCGACAAGTTTTCTAATACCCTCAATTGGTCTCCTATCCACTGCGATAAGCCCGACTCCTTTGCAAAAAAAAAAAGATATACAGGTGATAGTCATGTATTTCATTACCTCGTGGCGTAAACATGTTAACATTTTATGTGAAATTTGAAAATATTTTCCACCGATGCGTCTTTTTTTCGCTTGTAGTAGAAATGCAGCGGGGTTGAAAAACGCACAAACATCTCCCGCATCGCAGATTACTCAGTCCCGTGGATTTCCGACCTTACCAACTGCAAGATAATTATCAATAGGTTATTCACAGGATACCGGTGTCACGTGGTGTAGGTACCGACTAGTCATCGGATCCGCCATCTTGTTCAGGCTGGTTCGTGTTTCCATGGTTATACAAGTATCACACCATGGCGTGGCAGGTAAATGTTTGATTTGACAGACGGCGAGATTCTAGAAATTGTTTCAATTGCTTGGTGCCAGTTTGGATATACAATTGACGAAAATGAGGACAAGCCTACGTGTTGCCGACGTGGTCCGACAAAATGTCACGCGCGACAAAGCAACGCCATTCACGTGAGCCTGGCGCCCAACTTTAATGAATTTTAATGTATCCAACTAAAGCTAAATTTAAACATAATTATCTTCATTTTTATAATTTGTATAATAATAGTTAACGATCTATCAGTGTCGGGTCATGCATCACAAATTTGTTTAAATATGTCTAAATATTGAAATTAGGAGCAAAACTGGACTGTTGTTAAGGGTTGCTATATTCCAATGTACGTTTCAATTCCCTGTCTGTTATTATATGTGCAATACTGAATAGACTCCATATGGTGATTAAGAGATTGAATTTCAGTGAATTCTGGTTATCGGTAAATACAGAATGCAAATACGGAGCTGAGAAACGACGTATATATTTGTATCTGAGCAAAAATACAATATATATCAGATGACATGCGTAAATCTTATAAAGTAACAAAGTATATAGTTTCTCCGTCACGCACGCCGTATATACCGTGTATTGTATGATTCATGTGAGTTGAATTACTGTATCTCCTTAACACGCCCTCGATATTCCAAGCGTCATAGTTGACCATTTTCCATTCACTGCGAGATCCCGCGTTATGCGTAAAATCGAACGTGAAAACAAGACAAAACAAAGGCCATAGCGTCGTAGTGACGTCAAGGCATCGCGTGGCATCTACCAAATGTGAAAGTATTTTTGCGGGTATTTTCCACGATTATTAATATGCTATAAATATTTGATGGTGATGAAATTTGCTGACGTAAAGTCATATTAACGCCATATTACCCTCTGAAAAATCGGTATTTCGACATTGAGGTATAACAAAAGAAATTCGAAATCAAATCATTCGATTTTTGCAGCAGACGTTCGGTCCGCGCCTTTCACGCATTATGCGAGATTTCACGGCATACGGAATATCATCTGTTTTCGTACAGCATACGTTCACATTATACGTTTTACACGTAATCGCAATGGACCCATAGTATCGAACACGACTGCGACTGTGGGCGCTTTAGGGGAAATGATACTGACAATCTTACCTGGCATCCCTCGGCAAGAGCAAAGCCGCCTCCAAGGAGTAATACGATTCCCCAAGGTAAACCGTGGTGTACAGTTTTCCAATCCAACAATGCTCGCCGTGGACCTGGTTTTGATGTGTCTGTTAGAAAAGAAGATATTTTAATTATAATGATTTTACCCATCTAAGACAAAATTTAAACGAAATAGTTCACAATTTAATTATACATACGAGGCAACAACGCTTGCGTTTTGACTAATAAGTAAGTACGTATCATCAAATCACAGCGCATGCTCAGATGTATAATATAATATTTTATCATTCCCACAAATATTTTTGATTGTAATCTATCTCATTAGAGGATAATGTATTCGTGTAGCGGTTTCTATAACGATGGTTCCTCATTAGTTTTTTGGAATGGTGTTAAATGTTACCTAATCACCCGAGTGTATTGATATTGTAAAAAAAGTAGTGCCGTTGATATACTAGTATTAGCTCAAAATGGCGGAATAAAAAAAAACAAGTCGTGGAGGCTCTTTGTTTCATGTATGTCAACACATCACACTCAGTTAGTTTCATTTTTTTAGTAACCGTTAGTATTTGTGTGTGTTAATGCGCTTGTTTTATGGATGGATGAGCACGACAATGTAGTATATCCCTAGTGGGCGGTCTTTTCACAGCTTGCTTGCACTATGCAAGATGTCTATTGTCTGAATGGCGATAATGAAGAACGTTGCGTAGAATGGGACCCCCTACGGACGAGACAGTCAGTCGCTATCTGCCACAGAACGTCGAACATCGTCAAAGTGCTCGGTCTCCTCATTAAATCAATAATGATGTGTAATACTTATCGTCTTATGAGAACGACGATACAGCATCCTCAGTAAATATTTATGATTATTAAAAGAAAAATACGAATAATTTACCGCCACTTCTTCTGCAGCATAAAAAGTTAGGTGGTTGTGACGGGCAGAAAAATAGTAACACTGAGATGAGAATTGCAGGCGTGGCGTCAGAAACGTATCTACAGATATTACAAAGAACATATGTATTCAATTGTCGATTACGTAAGAGAACAATAAACACATCGACTGTTTCAGCGTTACGTTTTGTCAACAAATCTGCCATTTTGTGCCGCGCTATGACGTACTGTAAAACGGTTTATTTTAGCTGACATTTAATTTCACTATTTTGATACTTTGAACATATTCACTGTGTTTTAATTTCAAGAATTTGTCAAGGAAACAATGAGTTTTATTGTTATTTTACATGTTTACGTAGATTTAATTTAGCGGATTTTGCGAAAATAGCAAAATTAAAACCCAGTGAATATTTAATGCATGCACATACTCTTTATTATCATACATCTGTCACCGTTAATGTTACATAAAACCAGGGACCTACCCGGTCCATGATAAAACAGAAGAACAAAGGACGCAATTTACCCATTTTTTTTTGACATTCAAATTCCGGAGGATGTAGGCGACATTAGGCGCGTTAATTTTGTGAAATGCGACTCTGGTTAGGAAAGGTTAACGTAGCTTGGGTTGTTTACAAAAACTGCCGATACTAATGACTGATCTCGCGATTGTCGGACATCAAGTCATCGAGATTTCACTGAAGAGGATTTCCGAGGAGAATAGCTCCTGTAAATGTACGAAGCTTGATACGTACATGGAATTTAAATAATCCCCGGGGAGCATGTACAAGTTTCTTTCAAGTAGTCGCCATTATTGCAATATTACATTTCAGGTTTCTGTCAATTCGAGTTTGAAAAGAAAATTCTTCAGTGCGCTTCCAGCGGTCCCAAGTTGTTAATAATAGAACATCGTGATCCAACCATAACGGTTTGAGAAATTGATATGATATTCTTTTTTAAACATTAATAAATAAAAGATGTTTTAGGAAAAAGTGAGGCTTTCGAATGTCATGTGATATTCATGAAACTTTTAAATAAGAATATGAGATTATTACGAGGACACCTCAAAGTATGCACAAAGAAAATGCAGCGAGTGTATCGATCGACGAGCAGCGAAGCTCGATGCGACGGCGTACTGTCTGAGTGCACACTTTGACGTATCCTCGTAATAACCTTATTATTATACATCTTTTCCTTTCAAGGATACGTCATGGGAATGCCGAAATCCAGAACAGAATCATCGAACTTCTTTGTGCGGAGTCCGGTCAAACCCTGGTGCTAGCCATGTTTGTTATTATTAGAGGACACTTACGCTAGTAATCATTCTATATTTGGAATTCGCATTTCCTAATATGGTAGGATGAAAATACCCCATAAATACCACAAAATTACGGCACGCTGTAACTTATGGCGTTACAGATGTATGATAATAAAGAGTATGTGCGCTTTTTGAAATAAGCAAAGAACGCATTGTTTGATAACAAGGTAGCACTACTACGAATCGCACAGATCGCACCATGCAAAGGTTAACGATGTTGCAAAATACAATCAGTTCGATATCGGTATCACTATAGTAGAAGGGGTGTTTTATGACGCATTACGACAATGTCTGTTTTGATGTGTGTACTTACCCATCGGGGAATAGATTACCCCACCCGTATCCTCCCATCTCCCTAGTCATCCAGAGAAGTGCCAGCATCACGAAGTGTACTAGTACAGCGCCCTCAGCAAAACTGCGACAAAATAAATAAATATAATATAAACACGATATAATTGGCAAGATTGTGTGAGAATCAAGTACAATCCTGTACACGTGTTGCACTTGTTTCTATTTTCTGTCATATTTATTATAATCTGTACCGTTGGCTCAGTAGTCAATCGGCAAAGTACTTTCTCCGCGCGCTGTTCAAAATGGCGGTCCAATACGACGCATACAACGCGTGTGAAATAAATTGTTAGTTAAACACGAAATTCGCTGCAAGACTCCCTTGACACTCAACTCATTGAATGTTATAATTTTATCCGCCTAGGAAAATGGCATCAACCTGGTCGTGTTTTTTTTTCACGGTTTCCGCTCTGGTGAGTGTTTAATATCGTATTATCATATTATCGATCGAGCACAGTATCACTTGTGCGCGTTTACGTTATACCCAAAATGATCCGCCTATTCGCGCGCCTGCGAAACGCCGTATCACGACTTCCGGGAATGTTTATAAGCCCGTCTAAGTGATGTTGACGTCGCAAAATCACCTCGTCGCCGGTGCGAGATTTATAGAAAAGCTGTATTAGTGAACCCCATTTGTTAGTGAAAATTGAAAATAACATTTTAAATTCCAGCGTCAGGTCTACGTTGTTTGTAACATTATACTCAGCGGAGTGCCAAAGAAAACGTCTGATTATGATAGTGTGCATATTATTGTATCACAGAAAATCCAGCTGCGATTTTATCACGGGTTTATTATGAACACAGACTGCTTCTAAGCCACTCTTGTGTTCCAAATCGATTTCCGCCGATGCATGGGTCTGGAGAAGAGTTAAATCATTTTAATGCAATCGAGGCATGAAGTCTGTACTCCAGTTTTAATCAATAGAAACGCAATACAGTAACTCATTTTTGCGACCACACCAACCTCTTTCACAATAGGTAGGATATTATGGATGATGTTAATCAAAGTTTTGCGAGGGGATAAAAATATGAATATGTTCGATATAATCTCCGACGCAATTTTACGCTAATAAACAATTAAAACTTATGCCACTAAATTTATTTATTTATTTATTTATTTATTTATTTATTTGTTTGTTTGTTTGTTTGTTTGTTTGTTTGTTTGTTTGTTTATTTATTTATTTATTTATTTATTTATTTATTTATATTGTTGTTTTTCAAGTTGCAATGATAGGAATATTGTTAATGAAACAAAATACTATATATATAAGATCACCACACAAAATCCAGGAAGATTGCTGAGTGAAAAGGACGAGTCTTTTTAGGTATCACTTTAAGGGGCAACATCTGTACATGCTCAGTCATAGAGATTGGAACCATGGTATAACGTGTATTACAAGGGACAAGAGAGTCGGTAAGTATAAATATCAGTGTACGTGCTGTGTGGTACATGCTGTCAAATTGTTTCGAGTCATTGCATAACATAATCTAATGAAGACTGTTGACTAATAAAGAGCTATTATGATATTGTTACTTTTATATGTTCGATAATATGCGCACTGAGTAAAACAAGTGATTTATGTACGCCCTTGAAGGGAAGAGGTCGTTACATGCGCACGCGCGGGAATTGAGTCCCAGGCGACGACGACAATACACGCTAAAAACAATGACACGCTATGGCCATCTGACTACTCCCCCCGCTTTAAAATCCAGTAATGATTTATCACTGTCCCGGTGCCGCGGTGCGTGTTCAAATTAAATTGCAAAGTATTTTACGAGACAAATTGTATTTATGTTTCTAATTAATCTGCGCGTAAAATACCGATATAAGCTGATGTGCGCATGGTAGCACCGTGGTATCCATGAATATACATGTAAAATAAACATTCGCGCATTCGTGCTTTTGATTTTGTTTTAAAATGGTATCGTTTACGCGTTGTATATGCCGCGGAGTTTGTTTTCTCAAGTTACGTTGACGTTCATTGCAAAACATGTAATTCACTTACGTCATAGAACCTAATTCCTCGTATTGCTTCCTTATGACGTATCTGGCTGCATCTTCACGACTGTCGATACACGGACACGTTGAACAGCAGTTTCCTTTGCAACTGTAATCACATAATTATAGAGAAGTATTTGGGCAGATTCGAAAGTATTTACAGATACGAACGTCGAGGGCGTGCTATTTAACGTACCTCAGACCCAGGAACCATATCTGCAGCCAACCCCATGTCATCAGCTCAAACAGAACCATGCCAGGGAACGAGTAGATGAACCAGGATGCAAAATCAACACCATGTTCATTGCCGTATCGCCTGTTAATATAAACAATGCATTCATATAACATCTGGTTGTACAACTCTTACTACAGATGAAAGAATCTGGAGACTGAGCAAACTTCCCTATGAAGATTCAAGTTTCATTGTTCCTCCTGAGACATATTTTTCTATTTTTTAAAACTCTCCGGGACTTGTTGATACTGCTATACTTTAAAACGCATTGCTGAGACATACGGGTCTTAACAACCTTTCAGATATGTAAGCACATTGCAAGTGCAGAAACTGAGGGAGACGGCAACTTTTGTACTGTCCTGACTCAGGCTGCACTGTCAAATCAAACACAGCGTCTATAGGATGTCCATAGTTATTTTGTTTTATTTCGCCAACAGCGATAACAAGTCTGATAATTTGAAGTTCTCTCACTAAAATTAACGGAACAGTCGTCAACATTGTGCATGCGTGAATAGAGTCTCGCCCATCCGGAAAGGAGAGGTCCGGTCGTCAGATCGCTTGTGTGACGAACTTGAAGTGGGGTGAAAGGCAAAATATTGTTAGATAAGTTTAGTTATATTATGAATGATTACACAACCAAACAACAAAATTTACCCATCTACGTAATTTCTACGTCACGGAATCGCCGAGTTGCTGAAAGGTGTGATCTATTGAAATTTACGTAAATTTGCTGAATTTACGTCAATGTTTATTTATTGAAAGACAAAAGTTAAGATAGTTACGTTTCCAGTACACCTGTAAGCACCAGATTAGTACCAGTACCAGTCAGTGTAGCGCTGCCGCCGATGTTCGCGGCGTACGCGACGCATATCACAAGGGCTTTACACATCAGTCTGTCGGTATCCGATAAGGAATCCGAGTCCAAGTTGTCGTCGGTGAGGGCAGGCTCTTCTGCCTTTGAGATCTCCTCTATATCTGGCGATCCACTGAAATCAATATTAACACTAAGTATTAGTACCATGGAGCTTGATTGACAACTAGTTGTCTGAGGTTGCCATAATCCTATAGTTTTGAACGGGTCAGCCACACGGAAATCGTGAATCGCGACGGGAATATTTTAATATTGCTACTTTATACTGCATACCGAAGTATGCATTAGTTTAGGATTTTCATGAACCTTGTTTTGCGGGCATTAATATTTATTAATACAAGTGACCGTGTACGTCAAGAGCGGTGGTCGTCGGGTCGCGTCGTGTACAACTCGTGTAAAATACATTGTTTGTTTACATGAATTTCGAACACGTGATGCGCGACGACCATCGCCCTTTAAACAATCAACGCGCATGCGTATTCGAGTTATTCGCTGCTTTTCCGTTAGTAAAATGCTACGAGCAGTAGTAAATAATTAACTAATTAACACATCGATTACTGTTTCAATCCATGACGTAACAATGAATAACTTTTTCGCTCACGTTTTCTCGTCGGTATTATATGTGAAGCCGTCGTTGATGGCGCCATTGTTTTTATTGAATTCTACCATGTTAGTTATTTCATTTCCTTTGTCGATTGAGTTTACGTCTATGTCAGAAATTGACACAACTTGGAGGTGATTGTCTTTTATTTCCTGAAAAACGAGAAACAAAATATTATATTAAAAACTATACTGTAGAGTTAAGCAAATAAAACAGCATAAAAATACTCATACGATATCAAACAGATTTTATTCTTGTAATTGTTGGCAAACTATATTTTAATCAAAGTTAGATATTATGAATTTATGCTGGAGACTTATCGACATTGACATTTTTTGAACGACCTACGACCTACGAATTACCTCATTTTCATGGTGACGCCCTTCTTCAGCGGCTGCATCATCTTTCTGTTTCGCGATCAGTTGTGTCAGCACTGCCTGGGCGATAGGTGTCATCATAGCTGTTGTTGCCGTGTTGCTTATAAACATTGATAAACAAGCTGTGGGGATCATGAAGCCTAGCATCAACCTTCAAAATGAAGGAAAGTATGAGTTAAAATTGTGGGGTTTGAAAAAAAATAATCCACACAGAAAAATGTTGAAAACAAAGTTTTAAAGGAAAAGTTATAGAAAAAAACATATTGCTACATAAAGCCCCACATACATGTACTTATAAAGCAAAATGAAAATTGACAGCAATATCAACGTAGTTTAAAACTAAGTAAAGGAAAATACATTTTGCATAATAGATCTACCCCTCCAACCGAGTTTCCCTAACGTAAAAATAAAATAATGTTACAGAAAAATACAGATGGGGTCAGTTTCTAATACTTCATTCCTATCAGTCACGCCCTCTACCGTCAAAATGACGTAGATGGTGAAAGTAATCCTGTTTTGTTGCAAACACTTTCGCCATTTACAATACACAATAGTAGAATACTGTGTTGTCACCCTCGAATAAAGTGCGGGACAAATATGGCGGAGCATGTCAAACTTTGCGCGATGCTAGTTTGTTGCTGCAGCAAGCTGTTTCAGTAACCTACGCTGAAACACACCTTCCATTAGTGTCACAATCACCCTGCTGTTTGGAACCCATTTCCGGTCAGAATTCCGTCCCCGTTTCTTGATAATATTACATTTTAGCCTAAACGTCAGATTCACCTTAAAGTTACGTTTTCATTTCAAAAAAATGTGAAATATCACTCCCAGAACAAGATACAAACATGAAATGTGTCAAAATAGCTGTTTCAGCCGAAAAAAATACGATATATTAAAATAAAAATCCTGCCTTTAGTTCCAAGTTCATTTCATTTTGAAAGTACTGGAGGGCCTTGACAAACACGTGACTAACCTTCAAAGAAAAACAAAGCCTCCTAACTCAATGTATATTTTTAATTTAGAAGTCTCGCTTAATCATATGCAGCATCTAATTACTCATTATCACTTACAATCAAAACATTCATGGTTTTTTTGTTCACAGATTCGCAAAGTTACAAATTTAAATCCTGTACTCATGTCGGTAGAGACCAAACCCTGACCATTTTGACGGAACCCGGCGCACTGATTTAACATAATTTCGCAAATTTCTAAACAATAGTTAACACAGATTTGAAGAAACCCCATATCAGGGACGCCTATAAGATCGACTCAAACTCGTCTACTATACTGCTCAGTGTTGGATGTTCGTCGCTGAACACTGAGGGGTGTCTCCTTGTTCTGGGAGAAGAGCACACATATGTACAGAAGAGAGGGATCATCACAATGAAGCCTTTAGTATAAACTAAGTTAAACATGTTCTCTATCGTTTATCGCAAATACTGTAAACTTTTCCATTTGTTTTCTAAATTTGAAAAAAAAAACTTTAGATATTTATTATAGCATTGTTTTTAGTTTTCCAAGAAAATAGTATTAATGAATACCACCAAATGAACTACAGAGGGCGCTTTCATCTAAATATTTACCATCGTATGTTTGATCCCACGAGCAACAGCACTCTTAGAGCAATACGTTTGTGAAGATTCCAGTGTTCTATGGCCACAGCTACGATCAAACCACCCAGGAATAGAGCATTAGTGTCCTTCATATACATCACAGAAACTGAACCAGCTGTCATCACCCCCAATAATGGGAACATCACCAACGGTAGTAATGCTGTCGCTGACAGAGGGAGGGCTTCCGTAACCCAGAACACCGCCATGATGATGAGCACATACGCTGCCTTGGACTCCTGCGAAAAAGTTGAAAATACATGTATTTTTTTTTTTTTTTTTTTTTTTTGTCGAAAGTACAAGTCGATTCTAATATCGGCTGCTATCGACCTAAAATATTAGGTTGATCAAGGCGGTTTAATTTTCGCTTTTGCGCCTGAAGTAATATACACAGGCAAATCGCCATTTTCTATTTAACCGCGACCCATTTTTGAAAGTTCAGTGTTGAAACAAAAATGAATTCTTGTGTACTGCCAATATGTCTACAGGAACGAAAAGTTCCAATCTTTCTGTCGACTACTGTGCATTTTTAATGCAAAAAAGGATCCTACTTTTATTGTATTACATTCTGTGATGAACGACGGAGGGTTCTTACATGAGTACACCATATGGCATACGACAATTTACTACTGTCGAAATATAGGTCAGTGCCCCCTTTTTTTCTTCAATAAATGTCGTTCCTGGCAGATTGTTTCACTATTTTGAGCGGAAACCGGAAAAACTTGTCATAACTGTTTAACTTTCTCATATATTAACTCCATAATCAGCGTAAGGTAAGGTTTATCACAAAAATTTGGTTCGGAATTTTGTTTCCGATATGATTCAGTTTATTTGAGAACTTTCAGGAAACAGAAGTGATTAATCTTAATCGACGATTTGTGGGTTTTAATTAATGTCACATGATACACGTCATCAAATCCGCCAAGTTTGTCCATCCTCGTTCCAGTCTCGTCATAGTATTTAGAATTGTTCTTCCACGCGCTTCCTATTACACAACGACTTAGCTAGTCAATGTTTGTTGCGAATATTGTTATCGTGCATGAGCTGTCGGCATTCTCGGACATTCAAATCTATAACGTATTTTACCGAGGTATAATTCGCGAACTGTCGGTAGTATCACGAACGGTTCGAGGAGGAACAAAACCAATTCTGAGTTCAGACGAAGCAGAAACCCTAAAATGGTATATACAAAGGTTATATTATTTGAGGGTTTTGATTGTGCTATATATTAACCCTATTCTCTCCGAAAACGACCACCGTACGTGCGTTCGTCTGTCCGCCCGTCCGTCCGTTCGTGTCCAACAGTACATCACACATGCTTGGACCGATCAAATTTAATCTTCACACACACAACCTAGCGTACATCTACGCATGCATTTGTATAATGACCCGATTCAGAATTTGATTAGAATCAATAGTTTGGAAATGCTACGGGGATAACCAGATATACCTAATTAATGATTGTATGTTGACGACTTCAACATTTATTTTTTCGGTGAAAGGGTAATAAACAACTTGAATACATTGATCGATTAGGAGCAGGTAGTTGATAGATTGTTTTACAATCACTCAGAAGGACCCCCATTAAAATATCACCATAAAATGGTGCCAGCGACCTAAATACGACGCCGGTACAACCAAGTAACACTAGCATCTAATAAATATATTAAGTGGAAAGTTATGCAAATAGTATGTGCTGTTTATATGGGTCTATATAACAAAAATGTCGTGTTTTACTGCTCGGTTTGTTATTGCGTATATGTGTCTTGCAAACTAGATTTTTAGCCCTTCGATGTTATTAGATGTTATGTGTTATTTGTTGAGGCGAAAACTAGTTATAACGTTGATAAGTTTACACCTTATATGATCTTTAATTGATAGTTGATCCGGGCGTGACCCGGGTTACAGACCTCACCAAAATATAATTGATTTAGTACCCCTCTGTATATAGTAAAAGACGTTGTCCTGGAAGAATAACATAGCGGGAAGTTGGATACGGCTTTTATAATCAGTAACTTAAATTGTTATTAAATAACAGACTCAAGATTGATTATGAAGTCAATTTTACCAATTTCAACTTTTTTTACAAATACTTGTGAACTCTTTCATTTCTAATCTGGAATTACGCAATTTTATCAACATTTTAAATTAATGCGTTGGTTCAATAAGAAAACACCATTTTTGTCGATGTTTTTCAAGATGGCAGACAAAGAAGGTGATTCTTGGTCGCTTTATATAGTACACATATTATTTTTTATTACTTTTCGAATTAATTTCGGAAGATTAGTTTCATTTCGGATACTTGTCACGTACTGCATGAACAAAATGAATTGGTATATGTTTTACAGTTATTATTTGGCTGAAATTATGTCATAGTCTACTATATCTTTCGTGCTGTTTTATCGTATTTTTTTGTCGGACGTTTATCAAGATAGTTTCCGGCAGAAATTTGAAGATTATGATACTAATGTGCGGTGCATTGTCGTTAGATTTGGGGGACATTGTCTTTAAATGATATTATACGGTGGCAATATTCTGTCCATTTTGCAGACAGTTGGTTCACCACTCGACCTTGCCACAGTGCGGGTAGTGTGTGGACTTTTACCTGTCAGCAATGCAGTAAAAGTATTTACTATAAATGGATTGATTTAGTACTTAGATTGAACTTTCACCTCGACAAAGTTAGCACTAAATAGTTATCTTTGTAGTCAAGGTTGTAAAACTCAATCGAAGTACATTATTTATGAAGATTTGTAAAACATGTCTATAAGTATGGTTAATTTTATAAAACATCTTTTTCTACAATTATAGTGTCGCTGGTACTCCAGCCAAATCGACATACTACTGTGACAGTTTCGGATATTGCGCTCAACTACACTTTTACTCAACCAAAAATGGCATGCAGGTAATTATTGTAGTTGATCGTGATTGCACGCTTCGTGTAGCAATACTGCAGTGCACAGGGGTTTGTGATCGCACTAGGGGATTCACCGTCAGTTAGCAATCCCCATGTGCTATGGTGGTTATACTGAACACGCATTGACTAGCGGCAATGAGAGAAACATCAATGATGAGCTCACAGACTCAATATCAGAATATTTACCTCGCCTACGGCCTCGGAATATTTCATTCGATTTGGGTGCCTTGGTATCCGTAGGACGATATATAAATATGTCATTACCCACATTTTCAGTATGATATGTTGTTATGATATATTGTACTGCCCGCCGAAAGACTTGTTAACTCCATGCCGTGCCAAAGCACCGCCTTATTTCCACCACAGTTAGCTGCGATTGTCCACTAACAAAATTGTTATACTTTCCCGTTTAAGGTCAGTCGCTATTCTCAAATATATTATAAATTAAACAAGGATTCACTTTATTTTATTATTAATTGCTCCTCACTCTCTATCAACCCAAAATTCGAAATTATACGTGACAAGAGAGATAATTTAAGTCACTGGCCCGTAAAACTAATAATTATTTGCTGATAAGAGAGAATGCCGTTTGCGTATTTTATACCTTGATATACATATGGGTCTAATAATTTATTTATTTAAAGTCTGTTCTCCAGTTTTAATCAATAGAAACGTAATACAGTATCTCATTTTTGCGACCACACCAACAACAATAGAAAAGTGAAATATTATGGATGTTGTTAATTATGTTAATCATGCTTGGCGAGGGGGTAAGAATATGAATATGTTCGAAAAACA